ACAATAACGACGGCTCTTGCCCTGGACCACCTCACGATTTACTTGGAATCACCCGATCCCTCGAGACTTCATCGCGATCCATGCAGGACTGACGCTTCAGCGACCTCTCTGCTGGACCCGGCCGTCTGGGCCCGCCTGCTCGACCCGCACGTTAGGGTCCGCCTGCCCGACCCGCCCGTCTAGTTCTGCCGCTTGTACACCTGCTCCTATTCCCCCTCCTAATATCTGTCGTGTACCATCATTCTTTCTTCCTGGTGTCCCTTCCGTCATCCCTCCTTTCGCACGTTTCAGGGTCTGCGCCAACTACACGTGTCAGGTAAGGGTGATCTACCCCCAGTGGGGTACGATCGAAGACCAAAAGGGCGAATGTCGAGGGTTTGGTATACACATGATGAATGGCACGCGAGCAGATACGAGCGAACAGTCTTAACATGATTGTTGTTGTTGTGGTTGTTGACCAAGCTGGGTTTTGAGGACCCCGCCCCCCCAGCAACATGCAACCGCCAGAAACTTCCCCTAGGGGGCCTTCGTTTCCCCAGAGGGGGTTGCTGGGTTGCTGGAGGTCCCCATTCGGGGCCTTCGTTTAATCGTGCGGTTTCCTCGAAGAATTGTACCTTGATGGTGGTAGTGATGATGATGATGATGATGATGATGATGATGATGATGATGATGATGATGATGATGATGATGATGATGATGACGATGACGATGACGATGACGATGACGATGACGATGATGATGATGTTGCTGCTGCTGATTATGATGATGCTCATGATGATGGTGGTGGTGATGGTGGTGAGGATTGCGATGTTAACGATGATATCGTCGACGAGGAGGTCGATGATCTAGGATGCAGACATGAACAGGGGAAGGAGGAAGAGCAGGATCGAGGAGGAGGAGGAAGTTTGCGGAGAATTTGGTACGAATGGGTCTCAGGATGTTGAGGGCGACGGCGGCGGAGGAGCAGGAGGAGGAGCAGGAGCAGGATCGAGGAGGAGGAGGAGGAGGATGATCGTGAATATCCAGCTGCCTGCGGCAGGTCCCGCCACCGAGCACTCTGTGTTGCGATTGTTCGAGGGAGCGCGGGAGGCCGTCACGTGCGACATCTCGTTCTTCCAGTCTGGGTGAAGCCGTGGAAAGGATGATGAGGACTATGCGGACCGCAGGGATGATGATGACGATGCTGATCACGGTGATGGTGATGGTGACATTGATGGAGACGAGGCTGTCGACGATGATGGGGATGATGGGGATAGTGATGCTGAGCAGGATGATGATGATGATGATGATGATGATGATGATGATGATGACGATGATGATGCTGATGATGATGATGATGCTGTTGTTGATACTGATGACGATGCTGATGGGGATGGTAAGGGCTGTTGATGATGACGCTGATCGTGATGGTGATGTTGTTAATGATGAGTGAGGATGTTGGTGACGAGTGTGGTGGTGGTGGTGGTGTTGATGAAGATGAGGATGAGGATTAGGAAGAGGATGGCGGTGGTGAGATCCTTTAGTAGGGATGCCTTAAGATGGAATCCGTATATCATTACTTGTGGCCCAATCCCGCTACCGTGCCTGGGTTGTGGGTATGAAGCCTATTGGATGTTCGTTGGGATCTCGTGGGATGCTTCTCGGGGGCCTCTTGGAGGTAGTTTGGACGCCTCTTGGGGGCCGTTTTGGGGCCTCTTGGTACTCTTTTGGGCATCTTGGCGGCCTCTTGGGGCCTCTTGGGGGCATCTTGGGGGCCTCTTGGGGCCTCTTTGGGGCATCTTGGGGGCCTCTTGGGGCCTCCTGGGCGCCTCTTGGGGCCTCCTGGGGGCATCTGTGGGCGGAAGGCTCGGATTTTTTGTGTGTGTTCCCTCGCTTGGGCTCCTTTTGGGGCAGTCTTTGGACCCTATTGGGTCGTTTTGGACGCCTCTTGGGCCGTCTTGGGGCGGTCTTTGGGGCCCCTGGGGCCGCCTGGGAGCGTCGGGAAGCCGAAACGGCGAGACCGCCGAATTCCTTCAAACACCGACGGGAAATTGATTGGAGGCCCGTTGGGCCGTCTGGGGGCCATGCTTAACGTCATGGAGCGATCGTTCGGCGATTCAGGGCCCTCTTGGCCAGTCTTGGGGGCCTCTTAGTCCCCTCTTGGCCCGTCTTGGGGTCCTCATGGGCCCGAGAATTTCGTGTGACAGCATTTTCCGAAGCCCAGGGTGCGCACAGGGAGCCCCAGGGGGCGCGCGCCAAGCCCAGCAAAACTTCGGAATTTGGGGTCCGAGCCCAGCAACGATTCCTCAGGAGAGGATTGAGGCTCAGAGCATTGGGCCCAGGACCTGAGGATACGCCCACCCCGTGCCCAGCGGCACGGTGGCGAATTCAGGAATCCTCAGTGAGGGCTCCCCAGTAAGGGCTCCTTGTTCACGTTTTCCGTAGCGTGGAGTCCTTCGGAAGGAGTCCATAGCAGGGAACCTTGAGAGAGGAATCCTAACAGGGATTAATAGGTCGGAACACCTTATCAAGGATGGCCTGTTGAGGACTCCTTAGCAGGGGCTCCTTTGTATTGCATCCCTGGTAGGGAAGCCTTAGTCGGGAAGCCTTGGTAAGGAAGCCTTTGTAGGAAGCTCAGAGTATTGAGTCCTTCATAAAGGGGTCTTTACTGAGGAGTTATGAGCAAGGGCTCCTTACCACGGATTCCTATGCAAGGAATGTATAACATGGGTTTTACGGTGTGAAATCCGTGTTGAGGAGTTCTTTGTAGGGCTTCTTTAGCAAGGAGTAGGTAGTGGGGGATTCTTCTTAGGAAACCCTTCACACAGAATTCTTAGTCATGCATTTTGTTTGCAAGGAGTCTTTACTAGAGAGTCCTTCGTGGGCAGTCCTGAGCAGGAAACTATTACGAAGGAGTCCTTAAGGTGGAACTCCTAGTGCGGAGTCCAGAGCTGGCAATCCTTAGCAAGGAGTGACTTTCAAGGATTCATGGGTGTGGAACTCTTCAAACCTCTTCATCCCAAATTACAAAGGCATCTTCAGGAGGGAATCCTGAGCAGGGAGTCCTTAGTAGGGAAGCCTTAGTCTAGAATCCCGAGTAGGGCGTTCATAATAAGGAGTTCTTAGTGGGGAGTCGTCTGTAAGGAACCTTGAGCAGGGAGTCCGTAGTAGGTAGTCTTTAGTAAGAAATCCGTAGTAAAGGGTGTCCTTAGTAATGAGTCCTTACTTGGGCATTCTTCGTATGGGGGTCCTCATTCGGGTATCGTGATGAGGGAATCTGTCTTACGGATACCCTAGAGAGGGAACCCAGGTAGGAATCCCTATTAGAACATTCGTATTACGGAACCCTTTGCAGGGAATCCTTCGGGAGGGCTCCTCCCTTGGGAGTCCTTAGTAACGGATTCTTTATTGGGGAATTCTCAATAGGGAATCCTGTGTAAGGAACCATCAATCCGTAGTCGGGAGCCCTTAGTATTGAGTTCTTAGTGAGGAACCTTTACAGGCAATCTTTAGTAAGGGGCCTTTTGTAGGGAATCCTGGGTAGGGATTCGTTGGTCAGGAGTCCTGAGTAGGGAGTCCTTAGTTAGGCGGTCTCAGAGCAAGATTCTTGGTATAAGTTCTTAGCAGGGAGTTCTGAGTCGAGAATTCTCAGTAGGGGTCCATATTCAGGATTACCTGGAAGGGGATCCTCACTTGGGAGTCTTTTGTCGAGAATTCTGTTAAAGAAATTCTGAAAGCGGGACCCTTAGTCAGGAGGTCGTTGTCAGGAGTGTTTAGTCATGAGTCCTTACCAGGGAGTTCTCATTAAATAGCCCGGGCCGGTAGTGTGTAGTATGGTATTGCACGAAGGGAGTCTGTAGTACAGAATCATTATCTAAAAAGTGTTCTTTTGCAAGGAGTGCTTGTTATGGAGTTTTTTTTGGTTCTTTCGAACGGAATTCTTGATAAGGCAACCTTGGTAAGGAGTTCTTATTAGGGAAACCTTGTTGAGGAATGCTTATGATGGAATCATTGTTCCAGATTTCTTAGAAAAAGGATTCCTTAGTGGTGAATCCTGAGTAAGGAATGCTTAGCAGGGCATCCTTGGTAAGGAGTTCGTAGTGTGGTATCCTTAGTAAAGAATCCCCTGTAGGGAATCCTGAGTATGGGGGTCTTTCTTATGGAATCCGTCGTACGGATTCCTCATCATTGAATTCCTCGGAAGGAATCCGTACATAGCCAGGACACCTAGGACGGAATATGTTATAACGAATATGTAGCGCGGAGTTCTTAGTCAGGAGTCCCTAGTAGGGAGTCTTGGTTACAAGTCCAATCTGATTCATAGGGCTGGGCTTTGCTTCAGGAGCAGGAGGATACCTATAGAGCTGGTTCCAGCTCTAATGAGATTTCTGTAGCTTCGCTGGAGCAAACATGGAATTTCTGCGTGGAGCAAGTCGGGTTCGAGTAAAGGGGACGGTTTCTAATGTTTTTTATTGTCGGTGGTGTTTGCTAGGGGTGCTGTTGTTTTGGGGGTGGTGGTGCTGGCGACGCGGTCTTGTCGCCCGGGTTGACTACTTGGTGTAAGGACGGGCGATCGGGGACCGCGGCACGCGGATCTCAAAGCCAGCTTGACCTGGTTGTTGTTTTTGTTTGAATTGTAGCATCGGGAGGTGCCAAGGCGAGGGGCAACCAGTTCCCCTCGCACCAGTGCTTATCTTCTTGGCCGATGTCGCGAATTGCGCCTGCGATGGGATAGTGGTACGGTGTGCATACGCACATCATGCTATGAAGCAGCGATGGTGATCGCTCCAATGAGTTGTTCCGACAGTGACCCTGGTGCTCAAGACATCGATGTGGAGGAAACGCGCGGGAAGAAATGATGATCATGATGACGAGGAGGAGGCGGGGGAAAAGGAGGAGAAGGATAGGGGTCATTAATGTAGCAGGACCAGGGAACAACTGGAGGAGGTCGGGAACAGCAACAGCCGAACGACGTGTTGGTCAGGTAGGCGCCTGGGTAACGATGACGTCGACGATGCGAGGTGGCTGACATTGCAGCGTTCAGTGGCATGGACCTGGTCATGCAGACCCTCAGGCTTCCCCTTCTCTCCCTCAGCCTCCCTCTTCTTGCCCGCCCTTGCCGAGTCGAGAGGGGAAGGAGGAAGCGGAGGGTGTGAAGGAGGGAATGGAAGAGGGGATGGAGGGAGGGATGTGGCCCATGATGCGTGGCCGTGTCTGCCTCCATCCGTGTAGTTACAAGTCTCGCCGCAATGAAAGGCGACGCTAGCAGATGGCAAGTCGTCGTTGGGCGGCCTCTTCAACGCTGAGAGGCGCACTGGGTGCTATTTGTTGAACAGCCTCTTCAAAGTTGACGCGCGCATTGGGCTTTTGGCTGAATGGTCCTTCGTCCGCACGCGCCGATGCGCTGAACTGAACTTTGGTTGGCGGGGGCAAGTTCCCTGCTGGGCGACTTCAATCTTGTCTCGTTGCTTAATACGAGATATGCAGTTGTGGGACATTTTGAGCTGTTACAGAAACTCCCAGTCCGCCCTTGTCCACCGACCCAGCGGTCGCCATGAAGGATATGGGGTCCTGGTGGAAGCGGTTCCTCAACCCAGGGGCGTTTCCAGGGACCAGCTCTCCGGCCCGAGGTGCTTTTGACGGCCCCGGGTCCGCGTGGGCCCGACAAGCGGTGAAGAACCTCCACGGCTCCTCTCCTTCAGGACCCGCCTCCACGCCCAGACTTGGACTCTGCGACGAGGAAGGACTATTCCTACGCCTCCTGTGCTGGGTTCTCTTGGACGTGGATCGGCGCTCCGCGTGCGCCGCTCCGCACGGTGGCTTCTCGGGGCTTTCCGAAGCTTTCCCCAAGCGATCCGAAACCGAAAGGCATCGAACACGAAGACCTGGATGATCCCCTCGTGTTTCCGTGCTCTTCGCCCTCGGGGCCCCTGGAGCTTTTTGGTGTCTCGCTGGGTGGCCGCCTCGGGCCCGGCAGGAAAAGACCCGAGGGGATCGCCACGGAGGGTTTTTTGTTCCAGTGCCCCCGCGGCCCTCCACGGGCGGAGGGCCTCCGCACGCCGGCCCTCGCTCGCTCGCTCGCTCAGATCTCTCACAATAGTCCACAATTCGACCACACTCAGGAGGGGAAAAAACACACAGACACAATTAATCGACGATCCCCAGGAAAAGATAGGAAAATATGGGAAGTGGGGGGGAAGACAAAAACCCAGAAAATATGGGAAAATATGGGGAATCTTTTTATTTGTGTGTATTTATTTGTGTGTCCTGGGGCCCCTTGACACACATCAGCATTTTGTCCCTTCTGGTCTGGTCGGCTGACCAGCTCCACCCTGCGCCCGAGTTCCTCATGGCTCATCTCGTCGAGGAGTTCTGCGAGGTGCACAGCAACCCTGCCAGGCATCGTACGAACATCCTGGCACGCCCCAGCGTACCGATAGCATATAGGCGTTTTGCCTGGCCTGTCTTAGGACTTCTTGGGCCGTCTTCGAGGCATTTTGGTACCTTGGAGGCCTGTTTAGGCCGTGTTTTCGGAATTTTGGACACATTGCAGCGCCAGGCAGGCTTCGAGACTCTTGGAGACGTCGGGAAGCGCAGGGGGAGGTACACAACTAGTGCGACCAGGGGGGTGGGCCTGCTTCTGAAAACTACGTAGACCTGACCAGACAGCACATGGCGCCATACAATTCCACCTCGCGCACAGGGGTGCGGTGGCAGAATCTAGCGATTGAGTAGCCGTATGACACCAGCTCGGCGAACGCATAGAAGCAGTGTGTGCAGCAGCATAGAAGCAGGCGCATCCACGCCGCGGTTTTGTTGGGTCCAGTCTTCGCAGTTGCCGGGCTACTAGTACCCACCTTTCGCTTCAAGGGCTTTCTGTCTCAGTTTGCCAACGTCCATTCCAGCCAAGTTTTGCAGGTGTCGTCCTTTTGCACGGCACCCAGATTTCCAGCCACTTGGCACCAAGGGTTTCCTTTTCAACTTCGGTTCTCTGAGCCTCCTGCAGCATTTTCTATGTCCCGACATTATGGTGCTTTTCAAGTCCTACTACAACGCCTTCCACGTCGAGCAGGTGACTCGCTGCTCGTACGCAGTTGCATGACCCCTCAGCATTCCCGCGCCGACCTGCATGGTCTGATCGGCCTCCCCCTTGTTTCTTCTCTCGTCTCTTGCTTTTTCGCTTCGTGCCTGTAAATAGCTGCCCGTGCAGCCCGCCGCTTGTTTTGACGTGCGCCTGACCGTCTCGCACACCCGGTTCCCGCAGATTGTGAACAGTGCGGCAGCAAAGAGTTGTACGTTTTGGTCGAGATAGTAGTGACAATCGTGAATGGCATGTTCAGTAGAAACGGTAGTTTCAATAGAAACAGTAGTAGTGGTAGTAGTAGTAGTAGTAGTAGTAGTAGTAGTCGTAGTAGTAGTAGTAGTAGTAGTAGTAGTAGTAGTAGTAGTAGTAGTAGTAGTAGTGGTAGTAGTAGTAGTAGTAGTAGTCGTCGTAGTAGTAGTAGTAGTAGTAGTAGTAGTAGTAGCAGTGGTAGTTGTAGCAGTAGTAGTAGTAGTAGTAGTAGTAGTCGTGGTAGTAGTAGTGGTAGTAGTAGTAGTAGTAGTAGTAGTAGTAGTACTAGTAGTAGTAGTAGTAGTAGTAGTAGTAGTAGTAGTAGTAGTAGTAGTAGTAGTAGTAGTAGTAGTAGTAGTAGTAGTAGTAGTAGTAGTAGTAGTAGTAGTAGTAGTAGTAGTAGTAGTAGTAGTAGTAGTAGTAGTAGTAGTAGTAGTAGTAGTAGTAGTAGTAGTAGTAGTAGTAGTAGTAGTAGTAGTAGTAGTAGTAGTAGTAGTAGTAGTAGTAGTAGTAGTAGTAGTAGTAGTAGTAGTAGTAGTAGTTTTGTCATAATAGTATTATTACTCCCCACATCCAAAGTGGGGTTCTTGTTTTCTCTGGGCACCCCGCGCAGGAACAGGAAGGAACCCACCATCATCCTCATCACTCATTGTTCACTCACTCACTCATCATCCCTCACACACTCACTCACTCACTCACTCACTCACTCACTCACTCACTCACTCACTCACTGACTCATCATCATTCACATATGATGATGATGATGATGATGCGTGTGCGCGTGAGAGAGTGTGATGATCATCATCATCACCAGTCAGTCAGTCAGTCAGTCAGTCACTCACTCACTCACTCGCCTTGGGCCTCGTCTGTGAGTGAAGTGCGAGGAAGTCTCAGGCGGGAGCCCCCTCCCTATGGGGCCCGCGGATCATGTTACTAATCCGAGCGGGTCATCCAATTCTTCTAACTGTCACCACTTTTGGGCTCTCGCGCTGCCAGAACGCAGCTCCCAGGCCACATTTTGAATGCCCGGAGCCAACTGTAGGCCACTTCGTGTTCTTTGAGTTCCCAGAACTCCATTCTTGGGCATGATTTTGAATGCCCAGAGCCAACTGTAGGCCACTTCGTGTTCTTCGAGTTCCCAGAACTTCATTCCTGGGCATGATTTTGAATGCCCAGAGCCAACTGTGGGCCACTTCGTGGTCTTCGAGTTCCCAGAATTCCATTCGTGGGCATGATTTTGAATGCGTGGAGCCAACTGTAGGTCACTTTGTGGTCTTCGAGATCCCAAAACTTTATTCCTGGGCATGATTTTGAATGCCCGGAGCCAACTATAGGCCACTTCGTGTTCTTCGAGTTCCCAGAATTCCATTCCTGGGCATGATTTTGAATGCCCAGGGCCAACTGTAGGCCACTTCGTGGTCTTCGAGTTCCCAGAATTCCATTCCTGGGCATGATTTTGAATGCCCGGAGCCAACTGTAGGTCACTTTGTGGTCTTCGAGATCCTCAAACTTTTTTCCTGGGCATGATTTTGAATGCCCGGAGCCAACTATACGCCACTTCGTGTCCTTCGAGTTCCCGGAACTCCATTCCCGGGCCACGTTTTGAATGCTGAGGCAGGCTGATGCTGAGGTTGACGCAGTCTGAGGTTGAGGCAGGCTGAGGCTGAGGCCGAGGCTGAAGGCAGACTGAAGCTGAGGCTGAAGCAGGCTGAGGTTGAGGCTGAGGCAGGCTGAGGCTGACGCTGAGGCAGGCTGATGCTGAGTCACGCTGAGGCTGAAGCTGAGGCTGATGCAGGCTGAGGCTGATGCTGGGGCAGGCTGAGGCTGAGGCTGAAGGCGGACTGAGGCTGAGGCTGAAGCAGGCTGAGGCTGAGGTTGAGGCTGAGGCTGAGGCAGGCTGAGGCTGAGGCAGGCAAATGGTGAGGCAGGCTGAAGCTAAGGCTGGGCTGATGCAGGCTGAGGCTGAGGCAGGCTGAGGCTGAGGCCGAGGTTGAAGGCAGACTGAGGCTGAGGCTGAAGCAGGCTGAGGCTGAGGCTGAGGCAGGCTGAGGCTGAGGCTGAGGCAGGCTGATGCTGAGGCAGGTTGGGGCCGAACATGCACAAGACGGGGGACATCCACGGCGTGTTGCTGGCCCACGTCGGCATGGAGGTGCGGTTCGCGGCAGCGCAGGAAGAGTTGAAGAAGAGGTTGGGGCTCGTGTAGGAGCAACGGGCCACCATCGTGTCTTCCGAGTTTCACGCAGACGACGAGCGGGACTACGAGGAGTGCGCGCCGGGCCAGCTCTTCCGCCCCCGCTTCCTACCGCAGGGGATCTGGCTGCAGGTGCACGGCTTCAAGGAGTCTCCGATCTACCAGGAGGTCGCCGAGGTGCTGCTGCAGGGCGCCGAGGGCGCTGACGACGACTGCGAGGCCGAGGCGCGGGCGTGGAGCTTGCTGATGTTCAGGCCCACCGAAAGGGAGTTCACGTGGCAGAGCTCGGGGGCGCGCAAGGTGCGCCGCTCGGGGGTCACCCTGACGCACGCGTCCTGCCTGACCTCCACGCTGTCGCAGGGCCAGACGCTGCGCAAGGGCGCCACCGTCGACTGCGCGAGAGACGAGGACGCTGGCCGCACGGGCATGTCGGATGAGCAGTGGTTGCTGCGCCTCTACGTCACGTTCTCCCGCGCCACGTCCATGCGGAACATGCTGATCCTGCGGCCGCCGCCGCGGGAGTTCCTGGAGCGAGGGCCGCCGGCGTCCTCGCGGAAGGCGCTGCTGGAGTTCGACGAGAGAGCGGTTTTGTCCAGGGCGGAGGCGGAGCA